ACAGAATAATTAATTTTTTATTTTTACTTTTCAAATGCTCTTCAAATTTTACTTCTTAACTCGTCAAATTTATCTTTTATTAAACATAAATTTACTAAAATTGCAAAGTGAAAAGTTTCAAAGTAGTTTTATGAAATAGGCCCCTGATATTTTGTTTTAATCAGGAAACATAATAATTTATTTATCAATTTTCCCTATTTGTTCTAATAATCATAACTTACAAATATGTTACAAATACAACATCTTAAATATAGACGACCACCCTGTTTTATAAGTTTGATCCGAACAACCAACGACGAAGGTAACGGTTGGTTGAAGTTGGCGGGAACGCTTCCTTGCGTGCACCTTACAGTCTGCTACTTCGCTACTTGTCTATTGTTTCTGAGAATGGTGCAAGGAGTGTGTTGGGGTTTGTTATAATAGTCAACTCAATTATTTTATAGAGAGAAAATGGCTTGAACTATTTTTAAATTTGTCGTATTCGATATTCCTATCAACTCCCTTCAGGTAATATTAACACACAATTTTTTTAAATAACAAGAGGGATCATATGCCACTTTATTTAAAAGACAATATAATGGTGAAGCCAGCAATATGACTGTTCATAGTGTTCATTGTGCTACCTTTGATATACGCGCCATTTACCATGATAACATTTTTTAAATTGTGACTCTTCACTTGAAAGCTTATTTCATTAGTAACTCAGTATTTCAAATGTCAGACTTTACAATATTTCGTAACAGTTTTTAACCCCATAGAAAGCGCTTGAATCAAAAGTAACGCAATGAATAGTAATATTTTTCAATTCTCTATAAAATTATCTTTCTAATGAAGTGTGACAGCTTCTCTGCTATTTAAAAAAATTGAGGGGCTTCTGTCATCTGACGAGGGTTTATGTTAAAACCCAATCTTTTATATTATCGATTACCCCGACGAGTTTACATACATATTTAAGCATTTTTTTCTACTCCTTAAAATAAATGAGTTGACAAGAAGGGTAAAAGTCAAATTGTTAATTTTACTAATGTTAATTTTGTTTCAACAGAGTAATACTTCTTTCAATGTTCTTACTATGCGTTTTTAGAATCCATAAGAGACCATCATAAATTTACACCCATTGACATCCCTTAATGTTTCTTTATGAACTGATAACATAATCACACCTCCAGAAGAACAATCGTACAAGTGCAACATTTCATTTTTTTTTATACGCCCATATCAGTAAACGTTAAAAATTGCACTGTCAACATTCTTTGCAAATAACATGGAAGAGCCTTCTATATCTAGCTATTTCCACAAGACCAGACATAGTTTTTGCCACCACATTTATGAGTCAATTTAATAGTAATCCAGATAAGCAGCACTGGAAAGGTATGAAACATATTTTGAGGTACCTAGTTGGAACTCAAAATTATGGACTAGTATACAAAAAAAGTGGAGAAATTATTAAGGCTTTTTCCGATGCAGATTGGGGGGCAAATGAGATAGATGAGTCTTTTACTAGATATTGTTTGTTCTGGTAGAAGGAGCGAATAGTTGGTCGAGCAAAAGACCGAATTGCGTAGTACTGAGCACTGTAGAATCAGAATTTGTAGCTCTGAATAAAACGGCAAAAGAACTAATGTTTTTAATGAAGTTGGCCAAAGAAATCTGCATCGAAAAATATTTTGAGAACATTTGTATTCGTGTAGATAACCAGGAAGCAATCAAACTTGCCGAAAATCAAACGACGTCACACAGATCTAAATATATAGATATAAGAATATTTTATATCAGAGATCTAATTGGAGATGAAATATTAAAATTGCTGTATATTGAATCGAAGATTTAGCTGGGGCCCAATTCCTGACGCCTTCGTTAACTTATCGCATGCGATAACGTATGCGACTTGATGAAAGTGTATTCCTGAACTGGCGGCATTCGTCAAATTTATTAACGCATGCGCTAAAAAATGGTGATTTTCAAAGAGCGCTCATGACCGTTCGACAACCACTTTGTCGCATTCGTTAAGGTGAAAGTAAGGTTATAATCAGAGGGTTGTCTCCACATACTTTGATTTTCTTTTGTATGTGGTTGTCTCTGTTATAATTGTCAATTAATCCTGCTTTATCATAGGAGTTTTACAGGCACTAAACAATGTTATAAATTCTACTAAAGTTTCACGCTGTTTTTCCGTTATTCGTGAACCACGCTGTTCCATTTTTAATATTCTAAATCTAAACCACTCCAATTCTCAAGTTCAAAATACAAATAATCACAGTTAAAACATCCAAAAACCAAAAATTATTAGACATCTGCAATCCATTTAATTTTATAATTTTTGCATTTTTTTGGCAATTTTGACATATGTCAATGCAATTATCTCATATTCAGTGATACCATCTTTGGTATTCTCAATCCTCATTGGTTAAGACTATGCAATAATCAAAGACTCTTCGTTAACACGTTCGACTTGATTCGCGATTATCGCATGGTGTTCACGAATACTAAATTGCTGTCGTATGCGTTAACGACCATGCGTTACTTAGCGCATGCGGCAGTTAACGCATGTTTCGAGAATTGGGCCCCTGATCAGTTGACTAAGCCAGTTTCAGCAACTATTCTAAAAGAACATTTAAAGAATTTTGGAATCAGAGATCCAGGGGAGATGTTAGAAGATATCAGTTAGATTAGTTGTTAAGTTATTATTTTATGTAGAACACTGTATCTTACGATGTATTTTTTGATGTTGTCAATTTTTGAAAAATAATACACGTCAAATTTAGTTTGCACATCTTTATTGAATATTAAACTGTGAAACCAAACTTTGTCAAAAGGCTCTGCAGTTTTCTGAGATTAGTAAGCTAATATAATCCTTAATAGTAAGAATTTGAAGGCAAATTGCAGTACGTATTTTAATATGGTTGGGGTCCCCAAGGGGGAAAAAATCTTTATTATTCATTTTACGACCAAAAGTCATTCTTTATAAAAAGTTCTGCTTGTTGAGAAAATGGAGTTGCCTTATAAAAATTTTAGATTAAATGTACAGGGTGTTAATAAATTAGGAAAATATGAAAATGCTTCAAGAGGGAAGTACCATTATTTATTATTTTTAACAAAAATTTTATAAAACAAAGTTGTTTATAAACTAGCATAGAGACTAAATACAAATTTTTAAATAAAAATTTTAAAATAGAATATTAATAATTATTACTTTCATGTAATAATTTGCATTTTACAAAAAAAATCAAGATAGCCGATTTTGTATACGTTCATGTTATGTCTGCATTTTATTTACATCTGTCAGTATTTTTGAAAATGTTAACCAAAGAAGAGCGTATTTATTTAATACAATGTTACGGTTTTGGAAATGTGTCTTATCAATACGCTATAGATGTTTTTCATGGAAAATTTCCTAATACGCCCGTGTCAAAAAAAGCATTGCGAAAATTATTTAAAAAATATAATGAAACTGGATCGGTGATGAATATAAAGAAATCAAAGAAAAAATACGACGAAAATGACGCAGCTACATTATTAGCAATAGGGTCAGTTTTAAATAACCCGAAATTATCTTTAAGGAAGCGTGCACAAACATTGGATTAAAGCAAAAGTCAATTACACGTAATTTTTAAGGAAAACAAAATTATACCGTTTAAGCCAAAGATTCGACATACACTTGAACCTGGAGATAATGAGAGACGTTTACAGTTTTGTTTATGTATAGGAGAAAAGTTCCTTGAAAACCGAAGATTTCATAGATTTATTTTTTTTTACCGATGAATCTACATTTTGCACAAACGGGCACGTATCTTCACAAAATAGTCGTCAACGTTACAAAAAAGTTAATGTATGGTGTGGAATTTTTTTGGATCGGATCATTGGTCTATATTTTATAGAGGAAAATTTAAACCAACACGTGTATTTGAACATTTTGGAAAATTTTGTCTTACCATTTCTTAATACTTTAGATCCAGAAGTTCGTAGTAATATGTTTTGGCAACAAGACGGCTGTCCTGCTCATTGCACAGTCTTGGTCAGACAATGGTTAAACGATCATTTTGGCGCAAGGTGGATAGGGAGGTTCGATTCAATTAATTATCCAGCTAGGTCGTCTGATGTTTCATTACTAGATTTCTTTTTGTGGTGTGCATTAAAACAAAAGGTTTACTCAAAAATTCTTCCACATGATAGAGAAATATTAAAAGAGCTCATAGAAGAAGCAATCCATGAACTAAATGTGCCGCAAATCATTCGTAAAGTGTATGGTAAATTTATTAGGTTAGCGGAAAAATGTGTCGAGGTGGGAGGTAGTTATGTAGAATAATTTTAAAATATTGGAATTTTTATTTAAAAATTTGTATTTAGTCTCTATGCTAGTTTATAAACAACTTTGTTTTATAAAATTTTTGTTAAAAATAATAAATAATGGTACTTTCCTCTTGAAGCATTTTCATATTTTCCTAATTTATTAACATCCTGTACATTTAATCTAAAATTTTTATAAGGCAACTCCATTTTCTCAACAAGCAGAACTTTTTATAAAGAATGACTTTTGGTCGTAAAATGAATAATAAAGATTTTTCCCCCTTGGGGACCACATCCATGGACACACTGTATTGTTGCTTAAAACCTTATTCCATGCTCAACACCATTTCTAAAATATTGTTGTGTACAGCCTAGTTGGGGACAGGTATTCAATACATGATTCTTATAGTTCCCTTATAGGTTACCAGAATGTAAAAATATATTTTCAAGAAGAAAGAGTATTAACGATTTGCCTATTAGCACCTTCCCACTACATAAAGATTTCATAAATTTAAATTGGCTAAGATTCTTAAATCTAGTATTTTCAATAATACCTATTTTAAGTTAGTTGATAATTTTGTCAAACTTATATGTTATTTAATTTAGAACGATAGAGATTTTTATTTATTATTGTGCATTGTTATTAGGTACATTATTCATGATTGATTTAAGGTAGGCTATAACCTGTCCAAATTATATTATAAATAAATTACCTTGTTGCGTGGCCAGTATCTGTGACACCAAAGAAGCAATCACTATTATCACTTTAGTCATTGTAATATATCTTGCTCACTGTATATATGTATAAAACGATTGTAAACTACTTTTAAAAAAATGGCGTTTATCAATAGATAAACCGTCACGATCAATAATGTCAAACACTATCCGAATCAAAATAGTTACCTGTTATTAAGTTAGCTTCAAATAATTGATTACACGCAGGGAAGATACCTATTAAAAAATTAACAACATTCGAAAAAATATACACGATAACTGAAGATATAAAATAATTCGTAACTGAATAAAAATGTAAAATATTATTATTAATTACTTATCAGGTCATAATTATTAATTACAAAGATGCTCTTATAGTGTCGTTTCATTTTCTTTTTCTAAATTGACTTCATTATTTTTAATTATCCCTAAGATAAGAGTTAAAAATATACAGTCATTTTAGATAATTAATTTTAAGTTTTATTTTTTTTGCCTTTTTCACAATGTGTTGTACATTAATTAATTATAATCTCTATTTTTATTTTTATTTTCAACAAGATTTATGCAATATTTGTTTTATTTGTTGAGACAGAGATACGAGTGCAATGTCTTATGTATTTAATATTATGCAGAAAAAAAGCAAATTATAAGATTAGGAAGAATAACATTTTCGTTCTGAACCCAGATCTAAAATAAATTATAGGCTGTACCTTTTGGGGTTCCAAAATTTCTTTACTGGTTGCCTGCGTGCAACAATGCCTTTTAGTGGCACCTCGCTTTTCGTCGACCGATCTACATGTGATGAACAATCTATATGACTATAAATTACTGGATTTTCCTCTAGTAAACGAGCGCCATCTAATTTTTTTTGATATAATTCACTAAAATAGCGAATTTCCAAAAAGAACCAAGATGAATTGACATAAATGAGACTTTTTTCAAAACACTACAGCAACTGCGCATGTGCGTGACTCTCTTAAATTGTAAACATGGTGACCTCAATGACATATATAGTTTAAATAGACTGCTTATCCATACGTAAATAAAACGATGAAAAGTGGGTCGAACTGGGAGATGTTTTCTCTTTGTCTAGTGCATGAAATGTTTGTGTTTTGTCTCAATTTTGAGTGGTCACTGGTAAACAAACCTTTCATAGGACCGGTTTTAAAAAAGTTTAGTCTAGTTGAGATTTTGTTCTCATTGTCATTACTCAGTCGGACATTTTGTTGAATTGTTTATTTTATTTAGTTTTAATTATACTTATGTTCTGTTTTAAGTTTTTTAATTATTTGAGCATAAAAACTTGTTTTGATTTTAAATTTAAATGGTGAATTGCTCTATAAAGGTTTGTAAGACCAGCTATAGAAATATAAAAAGTAACATTTCATTTTTCACGCAAGTATCAATACAAGTAGGTACAAGGTAAATACGTTTATAATAATTTTACGAATTATAATTAATTATTATAATAATAATATTAATAATAATAAAGTATTTATTGTAAATACAAATACATAAATATTATTATATTCAAAGGCCCGAGTTAGAGCTATCTGGGCTTTACAAGTACATTTTAAAAGTTAGTTAGATACAGAGAAGTATCATATAATAAAAACTCAATATAAATAGAAGAAAAACGGACATAAGTACCAATACAGAGAGACAAACACTTTTATTCTTTGATAGGTTCTTTCTATGTGAATTCTAGCTCTGGCAATTTTGGCATTAAGTAAAGCCTCTTGATGGCTGAACTGATTTTTTTTATTGAGGAAAGGAGGCTGTATAATTTGTATACCTTCAGCTTCTGTTATATGTTTCCAATAAGAAAACCTTTGTTAAACATTTTACTATCGAGAAATGATTCACACACTTCAAGTATTGAACTTTGTTAAAAAATGTCTATTTCTGAAGTTTACCACCATATGCTTCACTTTTGTAAGTAATGAGACCAGTAGGTGACACTCCAGTCAATATTTTAATAGTATGCCTCTTTTTGTAGTCAGAGTAATTTTTTAGCCTACAACAAAGATATTTGGCTTGCTGTATTGGGATTTCGGTACAATCAAGTAGTAGTACTCTTACTTACATAGAGGCACATTATTTAATATTTCTTGTTTTGAAGGCCGAATTATACCATACTAAGAACTTCTCCCAGTTTTATTAAAAACTGTTAAAAAATTTAACGATAAAAAGTTTCATTCACTCCAAATAAAATGAATAAGACATTATATCTCGCATATCAGTTTTCAACTTCATAAAAGTAAATATAACTTGATCCTTTACAGACATAACTGATCTCCTTTTTCCTATTCTTTAGAAACAACTCTGCTACTAATTCCACAATGGTGGCTAATAACTGGAAGGATTGCAATCCTATTAAAGTAGATAGTTTTTTAGCACTAACAATTCTATTTGAAGACGGATCAACTAAATCACCACTCTTCACTTGTGTTGAACAATCGATCCCAATTTTCTGCTTTTAAACAAAGTTTTGTAAATTAAGCAAAGCTATTCAGCAGCACACAAATCTTCATTATCTGCTTCAGTAGTAGATATATGTTCATTAACTGCAAAAACACATTAAACATAATAATAATAATAATTAACCAAACATTTTAAATTATGCATACGTACATCCATTTCCTGAAGAAGATAACTCAACACTTAACATTCTACTAGTTCTGGCAACATATCATTATTAAAGACAGTAGCCATAATTCTTGTTTTAGCTGGATTACTTTTCTTTTTATTAATAGTCGCTTTCTTTTTACCACTAATCTGAGCTAACTTACATCGACTAAGCTTAGTTGTACGTTCTTTTTGTGATTGTAAGTCAGAATCTTTATTTCCCTCTTACCGATGCTAAGGTACACGGATCTTGACGTCAACTAAGATTGCACTTTGTACCTAGTCCATTTTACTATGATGTTGATCAGATTTCCACTGGTGGAATTTTATTATTATTCATCAAATCATTCACATTCACCGCCAAAATAATGCTTAATTGTCTAAAGGGACAAAGTTTAGAATGTGAAAAAGCTACTAACTTTAAATATTTAAAAAGTTCATTCAATTTTTGCATAATATCTGCTTTTATAATGCGAAATAAATTTTAAAAGAATAATCAAGTGTCCGAATAGTGCCACTATACAGTAGTCATGGTCTAAAGTTAGTTTTATACACATGAGTGTAAAATTGTTTATATCTATGTTCAAAATTGGTTAGATCTCTTAAAATGTTTTGAAAATTGGGAAACTAGACGTTACGACTCAAAATCCTTTTTTAAAATACCTAACGCAAGCTCCTGTTTTTTTTTAATTTAATTCCTACTTTGATGAAATATGTGTTTTAAACTCATTTGGGTTAGACCGATTCTGCCTGGTGAGCACTCGGCAAGCCAAGCAATATGACCCGCTTTTCGTCGTCTTGTTTGTATATGGATGAGCAGTCTATTAATCTATATATGTCATTGGGTGACCTACACAATAAGCGTATTTTGAAACATCGAGGAAACTGTCCTTTTCCATGTGCCTTTTCCTAACTTCTCATTCCATATCTGTGATAGAGATCAAGCTTGACGTGGCAGACGCCTATGAAGACTAGAAAGAAGGAAGCGAATCGGCAATGGTCAAATTTCAAACCGTCTTTTTTATAAAGTTAGCGAAATTGACTGTAGTTGGCATGTCGAATGACGGCGCTCTCAATTTTCTATGTAAGTCAATGTAAATTAAAGTGATTTTTTTTAAAAATTGGTGAAAAGAATCAAAATAATGTGAAAAAAAGTACCTAACTACAAGTAACATGAGTGACAAAAAACATCAAAGCAAGATTTACGTCGTTTCAGATTGTAAAACAGGATAAAAATCAAATGTAAAACTGAAGAAAACACAAGAAAAAATCAATTCAATGTCTTTTTAAAGCTTCTAATGTAAGTAAAATAATGTATTCATGTCTAAATATAATATTTATTGTAAACTAGTCACAATATGTATCTTACGAAGTATAGTTTATTTTATTACAAGTTTCTATAATATAAAATTTTACAGTCATAGATGCTGACTTACAAACAACAATAATTATGCATTAAATTTACCCTACTAGAAATTAAAATTTATTTTTTATAGAGTTTTATTGTTAGATAGAGTTTTTTTTACCCCAATTGTGTCATTGTTAATGTTTTTTATAAGATACTAAACGTTTAGAAAAGTGGCAACATATATATCGTTCCTAATGCAGATTAAGCACTTTCTAGAGATGATACAGTTCTATACTTTTTTAGAAGATATTATGAGACTATTTTTATTGGTGGCAAAATAAAAAGGGGAAAGCTGAAATTAAAGGATGAGGTAATACCATGTACCTTCCCAAATCTCCCTTTTTACTTGTATTACAACAATAAAAATCTGTTAACTGTGTTTTTTTTATCGTAAAACTATATATTGGTTCAATTCAAACAAAATTTTGCCACAAAATTGTAATTATCAAATTTCAGCATTTAAGAAACCTTTTCGAATTTGGTCATACATACCTAATTTGTATTTTATATAGATAAAATTAAATTACTTATCAATTAAAACATGCAAGACTTATTTAGAAGCCATGTATTTTTAACCGACTTCAAAAAAGGAGTAGGTTATCAATTCGTCGCGATATTTTTTTTTATGTATGTTCAGCGATAATTCTTAAACATGGTATCCGATTTCTTTTTTTGTTAAAAAGGGGCTACTTCAGGGGTGGTCCTATATAAATTTGGTCAAAATCTAATAATTGGGTCCATGAGAAAATCCTCGAACTCTTCATTTTTTATGTATGTTTAGCGATAATGCTTTACCACCTTGTCCGATTTATATGATTCTTTTTTTGTTAGTAAGGGAGTACCTCAGAGGTGGTCCCATATAAATTTAGTTAGGGTTTTTTAAAATTTTTAATTTCTAATACTTGTAAACAACGTATGCAGTACCAGTGCCGATGCGGTTCATTATAGAAGCTCAATTAGCATGCGTTTTTTGGGAACGTATTTTAACACGTTGAAGGGTAGTGCAACAATCTAAGTAAAACGTTGTATAGCACTACGAAATTTTCGAGAATTTGGGC